GAGTTGAATTTTCATACAATGCCCTCACGCGACTTCGTTTTAGATTTACCACAACAATTACAACAACCTAAGCAAGTTAAAAAACACATTAATACTAAAAGTATACCGAAACCAACTGCCGCACTAATCACCCAGTTTAAAACTTTAAAACCAATCTTTTGCCCTGTGGTAAGCTCGTTATCGTGGCTGATTGTACCAACTTTAATACCAAAAATACTAATGTCTGTAGCATTATCATTCTCCTCGTCACATAATACAAGATTTGGTTGTATGATAAGAAAGTTGATTGTGTAGAATAATATCAAAATCAATTGGCTTCTTTTAACAGCCATCATAATATTTTTGTTTTTATTTTGAAAATAAAAAAATAAAATTTTATTAGGGTAATTTTTGATAGGATTTATTATTGTTAAATTGCCAATGAAAACCAATTTTTTTTTTTTGAAGGAAATAAATTTTATTCATTATTTATACATAATGGTTTAAATGAATTCCTGTATTTAGCCATCGATTTACTTATCTTCCTACTGTAAGGCTGTATATTGGAATTTTTGAACTCCGAATAAATTCCACAAAGAAGCCCAAATAGAAAATTTTAAGCTATAAAAGTATTTATCAGTTTCATTTTGGGAATTTTAGATGCAAACAAATCCGGTTGTGAAACGTAGGTCTGTCACGTGATAATATTTTTTATAACCCCTCGATAATCTCTCATTTTACGCCGAAACTGCTTTGTTAATATTCCCCAAATAAAAACATTACGTGAAGCATAAATTTTCCAAGGCTAATTTCGATTGGTTAGAAAAAAAGAAAAAATTTTTAAACATTCTTATAGAAAAGGTTCTTGCGTAAGTAGGAAAGATTCCGATGTTGTAAATATAACGATTATTAAAAAAAAATACTGCAATGAGAAATATATTATTTTAGTAAAACGCAACTTACCGATAGTGAAAACTTTATGGAATATCAAAATTAGAAACGGATTTCAACAGACAAAATATATCTGCCTAAAGAAAGATGCGTGTTACACAAAGTCGTCAGGAAGATCGATGTAACAATTTAAAGTTCTTGGTTTCCAACTGCGAACTAAAAATCTCGATTTTTAAAAAAAATCTGGTATTTTCACTGGTCTTACGTGAGACAATTTAAGTATAATCGACAAAATATATCGCTAATCATAACCAAAAATGAATTTCGTTCAATATAATTTAAATAATTTAAAATGATAAAATTAACTGGTAAAAATGTGAGAAAATCAGGTTCTGTGAATTTTCTATCAAATTGTGATTTTATTTTTTGGATAAATTCCCTAAATTTTAGTCAAAAAATTCTCGGTTTCTAAATTCTTCCTAGCAATGTCACATGATAAAAAGAAATTCACGTTATTATCTTTTTTGTAATCCCTTATTTACCTTCTTTATATTAACAATATTTGCAATCATAATAATAAATTAGCCCATTAAAGCCATCAACGAAATTTTTATTGTTGTACCGGACAATTGTGGGTTTAAGATGTCGTTATCAGGAAAGTTATTCACACATAATCACATGCGCGAACCATCATTGTAAATGACGTATACCATCACCAGTTTTTTTAAATTCTTGCTATTGATTATTGAATAAGCCATTATTTCTCCTTTGTATCAGTATTATTATTAACTAACTGCATGTTATTTGAACTATATTGGACGGAATAAAGACACGTTCTAATAATAACTGTACATTTATAAAAAATTTCGTTTTATTGTGATTTTTAATTTGTATTATGTATAAATATTTTAATCAACGATGTAACACAAAATTATCTATATAAAGTAGAAAAATACTTGTAATTTTTCTTCCCTTAATATTTTTTTTTGGAGAAAAAAAAAAGAAAAAAATTCTGGAATAAAAATTATTGCTTTCTACATGATTCAATTGAACATGAAGCAAAAGTTTTGCTATAACACACTCTTGATATTACATGTCATAATCATATCCCTTCTTTTCCCAGAAATTGTTCTTAGTAAAGGTGGAGGAGGTGGCGGTGGTGGTGGTGGTGGCGGTGGTGGAGGAGGTCGAGGTGGAGGTGGTGGAGGTGGTGGTGGTAGTAGAGGCGTTTATGGAGGTGGAAGAGGAGTTGTCGTCGTCGGTGGTGGAAGTTCAGCACCATTTTTTAAATATGAAAATGGAAGAAGAATTTGTACACCTGGTTGCATAGCTACCTTCACAATAGTATCGATTTTTGGATTCTTTATAGCAAGTCTCTGTTGTTGCTGCCTTGCAAAAAACGGCGTGTTTAAAAGGTTTAGCAAAATTACTCATAAAATTTATCAAAATTCAACAGATGGTGGAGAAACCGGAGAAACTAACAACATTTCTCCACCCTCTTATGACACTGTACCTCCCGCACCCGAAACATCCCACCGTTTCGGTAAGAAGCATGAAGCTACACAAACTTCATTCATAGATGCGAAGGCATATTCAATCAAACATCCACCCGATGAGAAATTACCCACATCTGAAGAAATTCAAAAGATTATCACAAAAGGGTGTTATAAATCTTGGAAATTTATTCCTGAAGATATCGTATCAAATTCACAAAGGGTAATCGTTTCAAATGATGGTAGAACGATTGAATTTTGTAAAGGGAATAAGGAATTCAAGTATAATGATGTCATGATTCAAACGAATTATCCATTCTTTATGCCAGATACCATTGGATCAAATTCCAACGAGATTGAATCGGATATCATGCATTATTTTGAAATTACTTTACAAAGTAAAGCATCAAGAAATACCACGATAGCGATCGGAATCTCAACGAAACCTTATCCTTATTTTAGGTTACCAGGTTGGAATGCGAACTCTGTTGGATATCATTCTGATGATGGAAGAAAATTTTGGAATGATGAATTTGGTGGTAGAGATTATGGTCCCGAATGGGGGAAAATAGGGGATATTATTGGTTGTGGATATAAGCCCAAAACTGGTGAAGTTTTCTTTACAAAGAATGGTAAATTTCTAGGAATGGCTTTTGCCGGTTTAAGGCATATTTGGTACCCAACTATTGGTTCAGACGGTAAAGTTAAAATCGCGATTAATTTTGGAGATGAAGAATTTGCCTGTAAGGAAGCTCAAGGATATGGAATTGGTACTCCCGGAAAAAGAGTTATTGAGAAGGGTGTTGTTTTTAGCGATTAAGATGCGTTGATATCCAAAATAAATTTTATGTATATAATGGCATTTACCAATCAATCATGTGATTAGCTAAATTTTTCTTTTTTTTATCATATTGCTTATCAACTTCAATAAAAATATCAACTCAATCTTCATGCATGAAATTTAATAAGTTTTTTCGGACTTCTGCGAAGTTCTTTCTTACTTCCATACAGTAGTATATTTTTTATTATGTAGCCAAAACGTATTTTGGTGAATTTTGGCGAGAACATTATCCATAAAACCTGTAAATATAGAATTTATTGTGTGGTGCGCTCACATGCATTCAACCTGCATTGCTCACTCTTATGATTTACTTTATCTAAGACGTGTCTTACAAGCAAGCTGGCAAACTTAATTGGTCATGATTTGAAACATCCTTCTAATTGTTTGCTGTTGACAACGTAGCCATACTTCTCAGAATTTCCATTATGTTCATCATCTTTCAAAAAAATAAATTTTCTTTTTCCCAACGAATTACTTTTTAACTTTACCATTTATATTTTCTATTTTATTTTTTGCCAGCACTTTGGTATATTAATATTTTTTTGTTCGCAACCTTCACAAGATGTAATCTCTTCATCAATATTCTACTATTTGTATATTCCTGTACTAGGATGTTAATGGGTGTACGCTACACATTGAAAGTATGTTTGGCTTTAAATCATACTTGGAACGTCCTACTTGTTGATATTTAATACTTCATTAAATATTCGTCTTTTAAATTAAATTATTGTACATTTTCCGTTCCACCCTGCTAAATCCATGCCCACTTGAATTTGCAATGCAATCTGTAATAACTGCATGATAAAGAATATTGCTTATCAAGATAATTGCATAGAAATATATTGAAAGCTAATTGATATTCAAAAGTAAGGTTTTTTCTTTGATATCTCGTGAAACCATTTACTTGTTGCATTTTTTTTATTCTTTGATATCATCATCATTGCTTTCGATTACTTCATTTGTCATTAATAGGCTTATTGTCTTTCTTTAGAGGTTAATTTAATGAATATTCGTACGGAAAACATTTCCATAAGAAAACCGTTGCTTATTCTTCCCTATTAGTGAACGCGATAAATGTTTTTTATTTAAAGCTATTTATGGTATAGATCAACATATGGAGGCTCGTCGCCCTTTGAATTAAAAGTACTTATTAAATTCTAAAAATCTTTTATTTTCTAATTATTTTATTATCTAATTGATCTTATGATCCATTTGGAAAAAATCTCAATTACGCTAGCTTCAATTCATTAACTTGGAAGTAATATTCTTCTAAAAATTAGCCAATCAAAAATTTCGTACCTACCTTTCTTTTTTATATCAAAGCAACAAATTCAAATATCCAAATGAAGGGAATGAAAATTTTATTCAAAAAGATATTTTAAGATATTTGTACGCATGTTTTTGGAATTATTATGTTAACTTATAGTTTAAACAATTATAAATTATTCCTGGAACAAATAATTTGCTGCGCAAGATTCACGTGTTTTGAAGCTAGTTGACAAATTTGTGTATATAGATAATAGACTTGGTATAAAAAATGAAATAAAATAACTCGGTTTATATTCTCGATCGATTTATCGATTTCTTAAAAGCAATTACGTTTTAACTTGGGAATTGAAAAATTCAAGGTTTGAAAAAAAAATCTTTAACCATTATTTTATTATTATTATTATTATTATTATTATTATTATTAAAGTGTTCAAATAACCCTTAATGATTATTTTTCAAATAATTCTTCTCAAATGATTATTTTTAAATTTTATCGTTCAAAAAATTAATTTAAAATAAATACCTAGTTATGATTGGATTTCGACAGCAATCTCCCCATTCTCTCTCTCTCTCCTATCTACGATATTTTCAACTTTTTGAGTGACCTCAAAAACCTCATAATCTTCAATCTTAAAAGTCTCACCGTCTTTTAAAGGTATGATGTTTGGAACAAAACTCTTATGTTTAAGCCTAATGCCACCATTTTGCATTAAAATATCAAATTTTCCAAAACTTGGACCGCTACTTTTCCACATGTTTAAAGCATTTCCTCTCTCTTCAATTGTTGGTCTTGCGATCCTCCCCTGACGATTGGTTCTACTCATATCATGACCGATTCCTAAAGAAAAGCTAAATAAGAACGCATTTTCACACTCTTTAAATTGTGGCCAAAAAGGAGAATCCCACTCATCAGGATTATATCCACCGATAAAAAAATCCTCGAAATTCTTCAACTTAAATAAGGTAATGGTACTTCTACATTTTCCCACTTTCTTATGAAATGTGTTTGCGGAAAAATCATCTCTACTACCTCTTAATAATAATTTGAAATTATAGGGAATATTCTTTATAGTATAATATTCCGGTGTGAAATCATTGTAATTACCATCTGATGGTAAATCCTTCCTATCAATCCAACTTGAAATTATCGCCCCTTGTTCCAAGTTCATTATTTTTGATATTATCGCCCCACGATGTGGTAACAAATTATTTGATTTCGGTATGGGAGAGGTGGAAACACCGTTCGAGGTCCCTTCATCTTTTATCCTGGATTTATTATGATAAACTTTCATCTCATCATAAAATTTCGTCCCCAGAACCGATTTCAATGGTTCGACCCTTGAATAAAATCCCTCACTATCCATGTTATGAAACCTGATATGTTTGATTAATTTATCAAGAGTTGATGATAATAAGTCAAAATTCTTTTCATTAATTGTTTGATTGTCCGTTTGATTTAAATCCCTCGTCCTGGCCACACCCCATTCAATTAATTTTTCGAATAATTCCAATTCATTAATCTCTAGGTAATCATCTTGTACCAACACCCTCAAACATTCCTCATGTATGTCAACGAATTCTTTTGAATTAAAGAGCATGAAAGGATATTTTCGAATTTGATTTATACAATATCCTTGTATCTTTGTCAAAGAACTTGGTGGAAATGTGTCTTGATACATGATAGATAAATTGTCTTTTAACCATTCCTTACGATTCTCCAACAGGTAATCCTGTGTGTACTCCAAAAACTCTTCCAGGCATAATTCATCAGCCGCTTTTAAACAATCAAATATCTTCCATGAACTTGTGTCATCAGTGAAATTGATCCTCCCCCCATAAATGTAACTAGTGTATAAATTTATATTTCCCAGGAAGAAAAAAAAAAAAATTAATAATTTTTTAAATTTTAAAAAATTTCCACCTAAAGATTATACCGTAAAAATTCTATTCACCTTAGTATAATATCGAAAACATCGCTCTCGATATTCGGTTTCTCATATAAAATGATTCCATCCTTCTTTTTAACCCAATCCGCACTAACGGCTTTAGAAAAATATTTACTTCGAACCCTTAAAATATTCGAGTGTACATGATACCGCTTCACATTAGGCTCCTCTCCCACATTGATGATCATATTATAATCTGACGAATCTGTCAATAAACTTGTTAAATCCCTTGAAAGACTTGAATAAAATTCAGAAGATAGCATATTGAAAAACAGAAAAGAAAAAGAAAAAAAAAAACGAGGGAAAAAAAATTTAATGACATATAATATATAACCTAATTTGGAGCTTGCCTGTAATGACAATTGGTTCCACAACCTAAGGCATTTCATAATTTGTATTACCACGTGAAAGACCTGGTTTTAAAAAAAGGTTTTTCCAACAAAATAGCACATGCAATTAAAAAAAATTCTCTCTCCAGAAAGTTGAATAATTTTATATAAACATTTTAATAAAATATATATGAAAAAAAATTCTTTACAATATATTTTATACAAATCTTTTTATTTTTAATATGTAAATATATATAAATAAATAAATGAATAAATATATATATTTTTAAAAAGAAGAAAAAGCACATTGATATCACCAAATTGAAAACAACAAGTTAGTTTCCCTCAAGAATTACTTTTTTTTACCGGCTTTGTGCGTAACAAAATCTCTTCGAATCGTTTTTCACAATCTTCCTTGGCTTCCTCACATCCAGTAAAATTCACGACAAAATCATCCTTATGCCATACATACTTCTCATCATTGCCACAATTATGATTAAACGGTAAAGCGTTCAAAGTTCGCTGTCGATAATAAAAGAAAAAAAACTCACGTTAACGTTTTAGCATCTAAAGAGTACCGTAATAAAAAAAAATTACAACTTACCAAAGGAACAAATGAAATCTTTGAACCAACTTCAATAGCTTCAAAATCAATCAACATTTGCATAGCGGTTTCTTCATCTTCAAAATCCTTGAATAATAGTGAATTATGCAAAGTTTCCAAAAAATCTCTAGCCCAGGGAGAATTACGTATAAGAAATGATGCAGTGCTAAGGCCATGACAGTCGTATCCAATCAACATTTGCCTATCCGCAAATGAGGCTTGTGTGACATTTCGTAATACATTCGACGAAAGACTAATCGAATAATTCGAGATAAATATATTCTAACGAGAAGAAGAGTGTTAACAAGGTGTATCTTGCAAGATAGATCCCTCGAATTTTACCTACCGAATTCATCCACCATAACCAATCGGATTTTGGATATTCCTTCATGGTTTCCAATAATATAGGTATATTTTCCCAGGACTTCAAAAAAGAAGGGTGGGGAATATTTTTATTAATTATTTTAAAAACAAAAGATTTACGCAATAAAAAAAAAATAACAATTTGAAAATTTTCAATTTGCCTCATTTTGATTAACTCCTTTAATAACCAATTCATATCCATACTTATCAGCATAAATAATTTTATTCTTGATACCGATTTCCTTAAAGTAATCACTAGATGTTAAATTATTCACATCCTTATTATTTCCGTCTTTACTTGATTCATCTATAACAGTGACCATAACAATTAAGGGGTCGGGATCATATCTCCACCAAGGATCTCCAGATATAACAGATTCGGGGAATGGATAAATTGGATCCACAAGAATGAACGATAAAATTATAGTTGCTACGAATAATAGGACAACATGAAAAAACTCGGGCCGCCGTTTTGGAGTTTCAGGTATAACATATGACATCGTGTATGACGAGTAATCAAGAAGAAATGGTGAAGAAAAGTAAGGGAGGTTATATTACAAGAGGAGGAAGTTATTGAACGTGGAAAAAAAGAGAATAATTTTGTAAAGATACGCGTAACTAAAAGATAAAAGGATACTAATGAACGAAAGAAAGTAAGAGTTATGGAATCCAAAATCGCGCGAATCATAATCAAATTTATATCAAAAATATATACATTTAACGTTATCTTAAAATATTACGTCAATTTGTTTTGATAAGAAGTCATCATATTGTCTGTAAGATAAGTACACACATTCTTTTAAGATAAACATAAATTTTCCTTACGTAAGTACATTCATTAATTTTGATAAGCTTTATTTCATTTTGGAAAAAAAGGGGGAGGGAAAAAAATGTCGAGATGTCGAAATTTCATATGATTTTGCTTATCGATTGATCGACCTAAAGAAAATCAGGTTTGATATCTTGATTTTAAGCGCCGCAGTACATCGTCACCTTCTTTCATTCCCATATGGTAACCTGCATACATTTCTCGAGGAAGTGTACAAATATATTCCCTCTAGCTCCTGTCCCGTAATTCAATCTTGAGTCGTATCAATTTCACCGAATCGAGTTGCCATTCCAAACTTCAAACCACTCCCATCATTATAGCCTTACAATAAAAATCGCAGGAAGAATCTCGTCAAATCTGATTTACGCACGTCGTAGCGATTTTGACTTGAAATAATATCAATACCAAAAGGGGTACTTTTTTGTTCTTCACCCTACAATTTTACACCCTCGATAATCACGTGCTCTCACAAAGAAATTCTCTCAAAGTAAATAATAAATAAAACGAACCAATCGGAAAATTAAGAGAAAGAATTTTTAATTATTGGTGGATCAGCACTAAATATCGACTAACGCTTATTCGCGGCTCTGTTTTGGTTTTGGTTCGTTGTCCGTTTTGTGGCAAAGAGTGGGAGAAAACAAAGATGTCAATCTGCGCCACAAATCGATTACGTGTTGGATTGCCCAAATCATACAATACAAAGAAAAGGGTACACAGTCCATACAATGAATGAACCTTAATAAGGCAATCTCACATAGTACTGCGCCACGTTTAAATAAATACAGATTCGGCTTTTCTTTTTCTTCTTCTAAATTCTTCTCAATATAAACTAAATTCTAAATGAAAATAGAGTTTCATTCAATACAAAGGTTGAATTTTTCTATTGTTGAGATGGGATGTGATGATGTGATGATGAATTATAAAAGGGATTATCGTAATGTTGGATTTCGGCACACAAATTAGATAATACTTAATTAATTAATTTAATTACGGTATTCTTAAAGAAACAATAAAACGCAAATATCGTCTTTGTCGTACTTTTATATTTTGTAAGTAATTTTATTGTAGCGAAACAAGTGTGAAAAAAAAAAAAAAAGTGAAAAAGTGAAAAGGATATTTGATAAATTCTAAAATATTAAATGTACTACTATATATATAAATTATAATATGAAAATTGAAAGATTAGGATTAGTATTTAAAAGAACGTCAAAATTTATATTTTGTTTTCTTCCGCCCATTTCAAGAGAAAAAAAAAAAATTTTTTTTAATCTTTGTCTAATGAATCTTCATATCCTACTAAATTTGGGATCAACCAAAGTCATGTGGTTATTTATTCGGTTGCGCCATTCATATCGATTTTGAGTCTTGCACGTTCGTTTTTCTTGTAGACGGATTTACGAGAGACATATTTCTTGTGAGAAGTATACTATAGGAAGTTGAAAGATTTTATGAAAAATTATATCCATCCACGAAGCAAAGGGTGAATGTTTATATTAAATGTTTGTATTACTAATTATACTGTACCTGTGGATCTCTATCAGTTTGATTGATACATCGACTACACATTTTAGTACCACGATCTATGTTCAATACACCTTCTAATCGCTTAGGCATGCCAACCAATTTTGGTGGCTTATCGAGCTTAGCTCGTTTGTTGACTGGAGGAAGACTATCTTGAGCGTATTCATCATGTTTAGGATGTTGGCATTTTTCAGGTTCTTGTGAGGCTTCTCTCCCTCCTTCTGAATCCGTGGGTGAGAGTGGTCTCTTACGTGAATTTTTGGCAGGTTTGTCTTTTGAAACGGTTGCGGTCTTGGAAGTCGTCTTCTTGGTCTTTTTGGTGTTGACAATTGAAGTGCTATTAGATTTTGGGGTAGGGGATTTAAAAATGTTGACTTCATTTCTAATTCTAGGAGTTGCTTTTCCATTGCTGTTGGTCTTTGTTATCTCCTTCTTGTTTTGACCGTTGGAGGTAGTGGCCGGGTGATGTTCATCTTCGTTAAGTAATGATGAAATCTTTCCGTTGCTTTTCGAAGGTGTTCGTTCGTTGTTCATTATATCAGTGTGAATTAAACGAGGGAGGATAATAATATTGCTAGAAATTTATAAAATTAATTATTTTAACGAATTATGACCCTTGGTTGATCAAAAAGAAAGAAAAAAAAAAAAAATGGAAAAAAATTTTAAATAAACATGAGAATCATCACAGGTTTTATTTGGCAACAAGTTATATTATTAGTATCTTTTTATCTTGGTAATTTTAATTCGGTTAGAGTTTTTCATTTTAGGTAGCTACCTTCCTTCCTTTTCCTTTTATTGTTTGTCCCCTTCCTTTGGATGTCCTTATCTTGTTTCAATCTTTATGATAAAAATGAGATAATTATATTAATTAAATTTCTTACCTTTGTATTTTTATTTTATTTTATTTTAAAAAAAATTTTTTTTTTACTCAAAAGTTTTGATCAGCAATGAAGAGGCTTTGCAGTTAGAAAGTAAAAAAAAAAAAAAAAAAAAAAAAAAAAAGATTTGAAAGATTTTTTAAGTAAAAAAAAAAAAAAAAATAATAATAAAAATCTGTTAAAAAAACAATAACAATATATTTATTTATAATAAAAAATTTGGGGTCAAAAAAATACAAATACGTATTTAGAGCATCATTATATTGTTTTTTTTTTAAAAGCATTTTTATATCAGGTTCAATTGATCTTCAACACGTCATCAAGTTCGTTGTTTCATTTTTGTTACAAACATTAACTTTAAACAAATTAGATCATACTTTTTGGTAATTTGTACCACAAGAACCCAGTTTTTTTTGTTAATTCACCCCCGCTTTTATTGGTTCAAAATATTTTTTTTTATTTCCTTTCTTTTTCCCTTCATGAACCATTTCCTTCCAATTTTTTTTTTTTATAAATAAAAAAAAATTAAAACAAAATAAATAAATAAATAAAAAAATAATAACACACATGGCGCAAGACCTACCATCACTTTGCCTTTCTAGAATCCTTGCATTTCACTCTGATGATTTATCAACGTTATATAGTTGTACGCTTGTAAATCGAGATTGGTGTCGATTTGCGGTTCCACTTCTTTGGAAACGACCATTCAGCTTTCTGCATCAATACACACCAGAAATATTGTCCATACGTCTCATAGATGTTTATTGTGCAGGATTTTCAAGTAATGAACGTATTTACATAAATAACTTGTTGGGATATCTCGAGGACAAGATACCAAGCAATTCAATATTCAATTACGTTACATTCTTAAGAGAATTGGATGTGTTGCAAGCAAGTTTTTGTATAACGAGATGGGCATGCTCCACGCATGTTGATTTCATGATACAAACATTACCATTTATAAATATATTTTTACAACATTTCGTTAAAAATTCCCCAAAGATAACACATTTAATTTTCACAATAAATAATATTTACGGGTCCATTTCTTGGTATGATATTAATTTAAATTTATTGATTGGTAAGAATGCCAAGGGTTGTTTTGAACAATTGAAGGTGTTGGATTGTACCGGTGATTTTAATCCAAAACTTTTGTCTATCTGTTCAATGATTTCCAAACGAATTGAAAAGATTCGTATCTCCCTTTATAAGCACCTTAAACAACCTTCAATCGAGATGACCAATTTACAGAATTTATGCTCTTTAATTCAAACACAACAAAATCTGAAACATTTGATCATCGAGAACGTCAAAAGTGGCGGTTTGGGTGAACAGGGTGTGTTGGGTATATTGGAGTTGACGGATGAAATTCATCATTCCCTTGAAAAATTAATCTTTAGATACGTGGAATTTTATAATAATGATATCATATTATCCATTAGGAACCTTCAAAAATTGGGCACATTAAAATTTGAAAATTGTAATTTATCCAATCATCCCCTGAAATTTAGTGAATGGATTAGGGACAAGGTTGCCTTCGTCGGTGGTGTCGGTGGTGTTGATATTGAAGGTGACATGAGGGGACTCTCTAACTTGACCAATTTGAGTGTATACGGGTCAAAGGTTCCAATCTCTTTATTAACTTTCATGACCTTGCAAGCAAATGATGGATTGACCGTCCTAGATGTGAGGGCGAAAGAGATTAAAGCTCATGAAGTGAATGATTTGCTACAAGTAATTTCTCAAAATTGTAAACATTTGGTAGAATTCTCGACTCACATGATACCAAATCATGATCTATTACCATTGCTCTTACCGATTTTAACTTCAAATCCAAGATTAGAAAAATTAGTCATAGACACCGGAACAGGTGTCAACACCTCTGAGAATGTTGACGCTTTCCTTCCAAGATTTGGTAAACATTTACCACCTTCCCTACGCGCGTTGGAAATCCTTATGGTATGGTCATTTCATCATGAATCTCTTGATAAATTCTTTCAGGAATCTCGTGCGAACCTTGAAACACTTAAATTAAAGTTTTGCGACTGCATTGAGGATGATCATGTTGATGTTATATTGAAACATTCGAAAAATCATTTGAAGTTGTTAAATATCAAAGGGACCACAAACATTACCTATGAAACTTGGAACAAATTACAACAAGACAAACAACTTCATGTCGAATTTCACTCTGACATGGAAGAATAAACTTATTAAAGTATCGAGGTGATTCGTTAAAAAAAAAAAATTTTTTTATTTATTTATTTAGGTGTTTATTTATTATGTACATGCATTATATATATGTGTATATATTTAAATTTTTAAAAAAGCCATTTATTGTTTGATTTTTTTGGTAAAATTTGGTTGCTTATAATAATGATATGGTTATGTTTACGGTTGTACAAATTTGAAAAGAATTCCTTAACTTGGCGAGAAATTGTTGAACATCTTGGGATAACTTGGTTTTTACTGTTTCGTATCGAATCATGCTTCTTAAAACCTTTGTCTATCATATTTATTAATTTAAAAGATTTTGGTACAAGAAGAACGTAAAAAATCATTAATCGATAGGAATTTGGAAGAAAACGTGGTCAAATGGGTAAGCGTCAATCAATCACAAGACGATGACAAAGATCTTCCAAATCCTAAAAAGGAATAATAGAATTTGTAAAAAAAAAAAAATCGATTAAAAGAACCTACACACAAAAAAACTCTTTACTTCATTAGGAACAACTTTGTAAGGAGTAACAATCGTTCCTTCCTTGGATTGTACGTTTTGAATTATTCCAAATAGTAATCGAGCTCTAATTCAATAGCCACTGTAAAGATTAATGTAAACGGTCGTGGTTTAGCAAAACGTCAATCGATCATACCTTTCGGGAGTCGCGTTATTTTCGTATCGAAAACAATGATTGCATTGACACACAGATCCGTAGAAACCTCGACAACAGAAGTAGCAATATCGACAATATGTGCAATACTGAACGCCACAATAGTAGCACATGCCGTAATAACGGCAACGAGAACAATAACAACAATGCTGATTTTTCTCTGCATAACAGCATTTTGGATTCAACGAAGTTGCTGCAGGTTGTCCCTCGTTCAAAGTTTCTCGAGGTACTTCTAAAGCGTGTTTTGCGGCGGTTCTTGTAGTGACCATTCTATGGGTAATTCTTGAGGTAGCTTTATTCGCAACCTTTGGAGTTTCTTTGGAAGAAGATTCTTGTATAGCATTTGTCATTTTTTAAGTTTTCTTTCTTTGTAATTTGAAAGGTGAATAAAGCAGTTTGAATGAAAAATAAAAAAAAAGAGGATAAGCCTTATTTATTTATTTATTTGAAAAAGATAATTAGACTTTTTAAAGAGTTTATTTTCAAAAAAAAAAATAGTTTAATCGTGCTTAAAGTGCGGAGTATTAAGAATTGTAGACCAAACGCATATTCTATATGATTATTTTTTTTTTAAAACGCCTCTTTTATCTTCTTTGCGGAGAAAAAGGTCATGTTTATAATAATAAATCATGATTATAAATTATCTTTTTCCTCTATGTAAATTAGTTCATTCTTTAAACTATTATGGAATCTATTAGACAAGCCGAAAATGTATAAAAAGCCACACAACATTTATATTACAAATTTAAGAGATTTCTAATCAATAGAAATACGTCTCGGCGATTCGGATCCATCATCTATTGTAACCCGGGAGGATTTTTCTTTGTATTGTATTACTATAAAGAAAAAATTAATGAAGACATAAAGTTTTGTTTGTACCTTAAGGTGCTTAAATGCCTATCAAAATTTGTTAACACTTACGAATTTTTTTTAATTCGCTCCCAAAGTCTTTGGTAACAAGTATGCTATACACCCAGGTGATCTTTTTTGTTTAAAAAAATAAAAAAATTATTAAACAAACAAACTCTTTCGCCAATAAAATAATAGATTAATACTTACAGTTGATATTACGATGGAAACACTAACTAATTGAGTGAAAACAAAAAAAGAAAGAAATTAATTGAAAGTTCAATAAACGCAAAGGAAAGAATATACGGTTTTAAAAAAAAAGAAAAAACTCACCAAAAACTATGAGGAAATACCAACTGTCTTCTGCAGTTCGAATGGAAAATATTAATACCAAGATTAAATTAACTATCACTGCCATCCATAGAAATATGAAAATCAACATTCCACATCTCCATTCATTTTTTATCTGTAAACAAATGAGGGGAAAAATTAAAAAATTTGAATATCAATCATATAAATAAAATTTGAATACTTACACTTCGATATGCAATAATCTCCAAGATAATAATTAAAAATGTTGCAATCCTATGAAAATAATAAATTATTCTTGGAACATAATAAAGATGTTCTAGTTGGCTTGTTTTAGTCTCCAAGGCGAATGTCATCCAGGATTCAATGGCAAATAATAGAAGAAAGATCAGATCAACTTTAAGTAAGATCACAAGAATGAGTTGTCTTCGGTATATCGCTAATTATACGATAATAAACAAGTTACGTTTTCAGTTTTTTTTATAAAATATCAAAAATTAAAAAAGAAAAAAAAATTTTTTTGTTACTTTGTATTTTGGGACTTCCACCGATCTTTTTATAAATTTTCCATCCAAATTGTTGATATAATTTAAATGCAAGAAATCCCATAAGTAATAAAAATGTAACTAGAGTTATTATTAAAGGTAAATCGTATAACTTTGTGTTTGTTTGTTTTGTGAACTTTTGTGAACAAGAATTGTTCAAGTCTGTGTACCAAATTTTAACCTCCGCAATTTGAACCTGAAGACGATTTAAATTTTTAAGTTATTTGCTTCGTCGAGTCATATAAACACCATAAATAAAATAAATGCATACAAAACTATATACTGAACAAATAGTGTTCACAATCGTTATTGCGAAAAGTTGTATCGTATTTTGTGCAAAAATCTAAGTATATAAATATAAATAAAAAAAAAAACTTTAAAAATTTTTTTTTTTTTTTTAAAGAAAAACCTTCAAAATTAACACCTTACCGCATTAAAACAAAACCACAATTGATAAAGCTGAAAAATTATAAAAATAAAATTTTCTTGTTCGATACGTAACATTCGTTGTTCAGCAGAATCAAATTTACATGTTATATCACCGATGTTTTGAAAACTTTTAACATATAATCTTATCGAATTATTTCGTTCAAATACCCGAGTTTCTAATACTATAACTAATATAGTTTGCATGACTGATGTTAAAATAAATAACCTTGTCCATATCGATTCGTTTATTTTGGCCCACTAGAATAAAATAATGATGTAAATAAATAGGTTTTTTTTTTTTTATACTAAAATGGCGCAGACGAAATTACCCTTCTTGTGAACCATTTGTCAATTATCGACATTATCGACATTGTTGATTTTAAAGCGCTTTTTTTTTTAATATATGTATATATGATTCAGGAAGAATTCTGATTTATTTTACGTTTTTGAAAAAAAAATTTATTAGAAAGGATGCCAATTATTTTAAAAAAAAATGGAAAAAAAGGTTTGTAATAATAGAGCAAGTCTTTGTATTTAAAGCATTTATTTATAAATTGCATGACCATGCACATACCTGATTTGTAAATGAAATTGCTCAAAAGCAAATGTAGGCGTCAGATAAAAAATCTTTCATGTCCTTTATTATAGTTAGATTCTTTTAAAATTGGAAAAAGTACAATGAAAGAATTCAATAAGAAGGAAGATTATGTAAAAAAAGAAAAACTTTAATCAACTGGCCCATTTACACATGATTTTTTTTGGGGGAAAACAAAATCGATTTCCTTTACATTCTTCGAATGAGCATTCGATACCTATACCTACTGACATGTTTAAAGAAGTTATAAATTTTATATTACCACATGTTTACTGCATTACTAAAAAAAAAATTAAATCAACGTATAAATAATAATCATTTGGTCTTCAAAATATGAAAAAGTTTCTAAGGGGGGTGACAAAAATTTTAACAACCTGGTGCTTCATTTTCGGTTTACCCATAAAATTTTTAGGTAATCTCATGGGTTATAAAATTGATCAAAAATGAGCAAAATGAACACAGAGAAGTTCTTGGGTTAGCAATACCGTGTAGGCGGACCGGTACAAACTTCAGGCTCTGGATGATAACTTTCTTTTTGTCACAAAATGCATCCAAATACCAATTAGCTAAATTATGCAATCTGATTGATTTTGATTGATTCTAAAAAAAAAAAAATTTTTTCACTTGTTCTACAAATATAGTTAATAATATTTGGATAAAATTCCCGGAGATTGATGCATGACATAATTATACATAACACTTGGTCCTATCGATGTATTTTTTTCTCGTATATATAGCCTATCCCTCTTAAATTTGTTGTTATTGGACTTCTGCTTGTAATTAATGCGACATCTGTCTGTCTCTTCTCATTTACTTTTGTACCTATGACCTGCTCTGATACCGCTTCAGTCTTCTTGATCAATAAAACATTGATATCAGAGAATAGACCTTAACAATTTAAACAAGAATTCGAGTTTATCAACTAATAAAAGTTCCATAGAAATCGATTTGTTCTTGTGACAAAGCTGAATTATTGAAAATGTGGGTCATGAAACGTTAGTAACGGTATTATCGTAGGAATTTCTAAGTTTAACGTTGAGTGCCAAGAACCTTTGACGCGAATGTTTTACATTTGGTGAATATATCTAATCCAATTGAAATTCAACTTATTAAAAAAATATTATTTTATGAATAATTTTATTAATTTATAAATGGATAATATAATAATAACTTTTTTAAGTATAACTTTTTCTTAAATCCGTAATTGTATTATAAAATTAATAATTTTAATCAGTTATAAACAGTCTTAGCTCTTTGAATCTTTTTACATATATTTATTTTAAAACTTCAAATAAAGAGGCTTTTAATTTTATTTTATTAAATCTAAAGTATATAAATTTAAATTAAAAAAATATTATTTACACTTTTTTAATTTTGAATCCTAAACTTAAATTTTAATATTCTTAATAGTAGTATCAATTATATAATTTTAAGAATTTTAGTTAATTTTATAATATTTACTAAATTTTATTTTAATTATATATTTAACAATATATATATTAAAGTTATTTTACTGATATAGAATATAAATAAATTAAATAATATATAAAGTATATAATTTATTTATAAAATAAAATAATATTTTTATGTTAATAATATCTATACTAATACATTTTCTAATTTTTAATTAATATTAAATTTAAATAAAATAATTATAATTATAAATTATATAAATTAAACATATAAACATATTAATTTTAATGAACCTGGTAAATAAAATAAGCAAATATTTTTATAAAATATTATTTATTATATTATATTATGTTTTAACTAATTTATTTATTTATCATATAGATATAAAAATTAAATACCTCTTTTTTATTATAAAGGTATTTAATTTCAGATTATTTTAAAATTTATTAATTTTTCTTTAAAATATACTAAAAATTTTTATAATTTTTATAATAGGAAAGATTAAAAACTATCAAATAATTACTAATATAAATTTATATAACTTATAATATTTATGCGATTGATCTAAAATTAAAATATAAAATATGAATATCATTTTGTATTAAAATAGTAAATCAAATTTAATTATATTATATTAAATTTTAAGAAATATGATCTTAAAAATAAAAAATTATATAATATCACAAAATAAATGCAACAAATTTAAAAAGAATATTAAATATAAAAAAAATATTAAAATTAAATGTAATTCATATTCTATTAACAAAAAAATTTGTATAATTTATGTTAAACCAATATAAATAAAATAAAGTGATAAATCATTTTAATCTTAAAAGTAGTATAATTAGATAATAAATTAAAATAAAATATAAATTTAATAATTAAGATAAATTAAAAAATAATTAATTAAATTTTAGACAAATATTTTTTTTAAGATTAAAAAAAAAATTATATAATAATTAATTGATTAAAAAAACAAAGATTAATTAATAACTTATATAATTTTAAAAATGATTTTTTATTTATAATGATATAATAGAGATTCTAGAACATAAAATATATAGCTAATAGATATTAATACTTTTAAATAAAATTTATTAATTTTTTATTAAATATCAAAATAACCTATTTACTCTTATTTAACTAATATATAAATATTTACTTAATAAAAATCATATATTATAAGAATTTAAAAATAATATTGATGATCTAAATAATATTATCTTATTCTAAAATAAAGTATTTGCAGATGAATTTAAAATATATATAATTACTATAAAAATTTAGATTATGATTGTTTAAGAAAATTTATAATTAATCTTAAAATTATTATATAAATTGCTTTTAACTAAATTTTATATCATATTATTTTATTATAAAGTATTCAAATTTTTTATAAAAAATATTAGTTTATTTATATTAGATTTTATATTTTTAATTTATATATGAAACTTAATCTAATTTGTATAATTATCTATTAAAATAGGTAATATATAAAGCTTAATATAATATATAAATTCTCTAATTTACTTTGTAAATGTAATATTCCTATAAGTAAAATCAATTCAAAAGAGTTATATAAAATAAATAATATGTTATTTTTACATAATATAATAAAAAAAGATTTTAAGAAAGTTATTTAATAAAATTTATATATATTAAAACTCATTAATTAATTATTCTAGTTTTAATAATTTAATAATTCAATATTATTTATTGTTTTTTAAAATTTAATTTTAATTTTTTTAAATTCTATAAAGATATTTTTAAGGTACTATTAAATTAAAAATAATAATTAAATAATTATTAATAACTTAATATATGCTAAATAAATTATTAATATATAAGTAAAGAATATAATTATTTATCTAATATAATTTAATAAAAAAAAAAAATAATATAATTTAAATTTTTCTTATTAATTATGAATAGTTAAAATCTATAATATATAAATTTAACTTATATATTTATAATATTGTTTAGTAAAATAAAAAATAATTTAAGTTTCTAATGAATTAAATCAAGTTGAGTTTTGAGTCAAAATTATCTTACATATCTTTAAAGTATTTATTTATTATATATAATGAAAATTTATAATTATGTATAATTATGCAAATCAAATATATAAGTTTATGTAAATCATTTTTAGAAATCTAAAATAATCTTTTTCTAAACTTTTTTTATTCAATATATAAATCTTTAAATATAATCACATATATTTTTTTAAAAAAATTAAATTAACTTTTAAAATTTATTAGATTTCATCACCTATTTTTTCAAACTATTTGCAATAATTTGATATTATATCAGAAATATAATATTTTAATAATAATCAATAAAAATAATAACATCATTTTTTATATATTAAATTTTATTATTTTTTATTTAATATTTAATATAATTTATCTTTTAAAAGATTGATAATTTTATTAATTTTCTTGAATTAGTATAATCACTTATTAATAATATAAAAAATTATTAAGATTAAATTTAAGTTATTGAATTTTTTTTGTATCTTTTATTTTATTAATATAAAAAATAAGTTTATTTACAAAATCAAACTTTTTAACTTTTATAATATTTAAATAAAATAGTTAATAATATATTTAAAAATTATCTTTTCAAATATAGTAGTATAAAAAATACTATTTAAATTTTTCATGATTAAAGCTTTAGATCAGATCAATAATAATTTGATCTAATTTTAATTTTTATTTAACTTGATCTGACCTAATAAAATTGTTTAAGAAGAATAATTTGTTATATTTCTAATTAAATAATTGTTATTATTTAAGAAAAATGAATAGTTAATTTAAATTTTATTAAATTAAATCAGATTAGATAACAAGTTAACTTAATCTTATATTAACTTAAAAATCTTGATCTTATTTGAATTTTCAGATTAAATCAGATTAGATAAATAAAAATAAAATAAAAAATAAATAAAATAAAATAAAAAATAAATAAAATAAAATAAAAAATAAAATAAAAATAAAATAAAATAAAAAATAAAGATAAAACAAAAAGAAAATTAAATGAGACAAAAAAATGAAATTAAGAAAACTTAATGAGATGAAAAAACAAAATTAAGAAACTAAAATAAAACTATAAAATAAAATTAAATGAATGAGATGAAATAAAAAATAAAATTAAATAAATAAAAAGAAATTATAAAATGAAATTAGAAAAATAAAACGAAATGAAAAAATAAAATTAAGAAAATAAAATAAAACTAAAAAATAAAACGAAATAAAAAAATGAAAAAGAAAAAATGAAATTAAATGTATGATATGAAAAGAAAATAAAATTAAATGAATGATATAAAAAAAATGAAATTAAATAAATAATAAGAAAAAAAATGAA